AGTGCAAAATGTGAACTTTCAGTTAACTGTTGGCCAGTGAAAAGGGTGCTTGTCTGCTTCCTCACTCCTCCCAGTGTTTAGAGAATGGATTGGGAGACAGTCTTCGGACTGCCTGGTACTGTACTGCCTGGACTGTATTTTCCCTGCCTTCCCTGAACCTTTTTTGACCTAAGAAAAAAAGAAACAAAATATCCCCCTCTAGTGGTCGAAGGCGGAATAGCAGCTTCCCATTAGTTTCTATGGATGGAGAAGAGCAGATACGGATCAAATGGTTTTCAATGCATTCCTATGGGAAATGCAGATTTGACCTGAGAACGTTTCGACTTGAGAACCGCCTTCCAATACGGATTAAGTTCTCAAGTCAAGACCCCACTGTAGCAAGAAATTAGCATTTCAGTTTTTAATCTGGGTACTGTTACAGATTAAGAAGTCGATCTGCTGAGTCACATAAAAAGTCTATGCAGTGGTTAGTCAGCTATTCTTGGAAGTCCAAATAGCAACATTACCAAATTAAATATGAAAAGTGTGAATTACATACAAATGCTATCAATGATGACCTTAATTCTACCTAGTCAGTAGTCCTTAAAGGTAAAGGTTGCCCTTGACATTTAGTTCAGTTGTGTCTGACTCTAAGGTGCGGTGCTCATCCCCATTTCCAAGCCATAGAGTGAGCGTTTGTCCAAAGACAGTTTCTGTGGTCATGTGGCCAGCACGACTAGACACTGAACGCTTCCCACCGAGGTGGCACCTATATATCTACTCGCATTTACATGCTTTCAAGCTGCTAGATTGGCAGGAGCTGGGACAAGTGACGGGAACTCACTCCGTCACGTGGATTTGATATTACAACTGCTGGCTTTCTGACCCTGCAGCACAGAGGCTTCTGTGGTTTAACTCGCAGCGCCATCACGTCCCCACCCCAGTAGTCCTTAAACAGACACAAATAACAAAGCTGCTTTTTGTCTGGTCATGCTGTGCTGTCTTATATGAGCACGAGCAGTTTATATAAGACAGGAAGGTATGAGCAGACAAAACCCAAATTTGCAGAAATTTTCCCAAGAAACCTAACAGTATGGGGGGTCGTGTGGCCAGAGAGCTGCATCTTTTCAGTAGCTAAGAATCAAGGAAACTGTGAGAAGAGGAATGGAACAGAAGGTTGTCTATGACATGACTGGCTAACTGGAACCTGAGATCAGGAGTAAAAACTGCAAAATTTTGCTGCAGACCCCATCTGAAACTTATAGAAGGTCAGCAGAGAAAGGCTGAAGAAGCTATAGTTTATTATGCAAGTCAGTACAGGAGAAGCTCCCAAAGAAACTGCTCACTGATAGTTTCATCAATCAACAGTGACTTCTGGAAGACAATTTGGATTTGCTTTATCTTTAACATTTCTAAATCAACTGTTTATCAGTTGATCTTAGATCAGACTGAAGACTACTCTTCCATCAATAAAAGGTGAGAAGAAATGCACTGGGAGCTCTTGTTGTTGTTTAGTTGTAAAGTTGTGTCCAACTCTTTGTGACCCCATGGACCAGAGAATGCCAGGCCCTCCTGTCTTCCACTGCTTCCCAGAGTTGGGTCAAATTCATGTTGGTAGGTTCGGTGACTCTGTCCAACTATCTCGTCCTCTGTCGTCCCCTTCTCCTCGTGCCTTCACACTTCCCTAACATCGGTGTCTTTTCCAGGGAGTCTTCTCTTCTCATGAGATGGCCAAAGTATTGGAGCCTCAGCTTCGCTACTAGAAAAACCATAACTATTTGTTGGCAAGGTGACGTCTCTGCTTTTTAAGATGCTGTCTAGGTTTGTCATTGCTTTCCTCCCAAGAAGCAGGCGTCTTTTAATTTTGTGGCTGCTGTCACCATCTGCAGTGATCATGGAGTCCAAGAAAGTGAAATCTGTCACTGCCTCCATATCTTCCCCTTCTATTTGGCAGGAGATGATGGGACCAGCGGCCATGATCTTAGTTTTTCTGATGTTGAGCTTCAGACCATTTTTTGCGCTCTCCTCTTTCACCCTCATTAAGAGGTTCTTTAATTCCTCCTCACTTTCTGCCATCAGAGTATCATCTGCATATCTGAAGTTGTTGATATTTCTTCCAGTAATCTTGATTCCAGCTTGGGAATCATCCAGTCCAGCCTTTCGCATGATGTATTCATTCTGCATATAAGTTAAATAAGCAGGGGGACGATATACAGCCTTGTCATACTCCTTTCCCAATTGTGAACCAATAAGTTGTTCCATATCCAGTTCTAACTGTTGCTTCCTGTCCCATGTATAGATTTCTCAGGAGATAGATAAGGTGGTCAGGCACTCCCATTTCTTTATGGACTTGCCATAGTTTGCTGTGGTCCCCACAGTCAAAGGCTTTTGCGTAGTCAATGAAGCAGAAGTAGATTTTTTCTGGAACTCCCTGACTTTCTCCATAATCCAGCACATGTTAGCAAATTGGTCTCTAGTTCCTCTGCCCCTTCGAAACCCCACTTGTACTTCTGGGAGTTCTCAGTCCACATACTGCTGAAGCCTGCCTTGGAGGATTTTGAGCATAACCTTGCTAGCTTGTGGAATGAGTGCAATTGTACAGTAGTTGGAGCATTCTTTGCCACTGCCCTTCTGTGTAATTGGGATGTAGACTGATCTTTTCCAATCGTCTGGCCATTGCTGAGTTTTTCAAACTTGTTGGTATATTGAGTGTAGCACCGTAACAGCGTCATATTTTGAGATTTTAACTGTAAGGTCCCTACCATTTTTGTCCTTTATCATGTCCATCTTTGCACAAAATGTTCCTTTAATAGCTCCAATTTTCTCGAATACATCTCTGATTTTTCCCTATTATTTTCCTGTTTCTTTGCACTGTTCACTTAAGAAAGCCCTCTTGTCTCTCCTTGGTATTCTTTGGAAATCTGCATTCAATTTTCTGTAACTTTCCCTATTTCCCTTGCATTTTGTTTCCCTTCTCTTCTCTGCTATTTGTAAGGCCTCATTGGCGAGCCACTTTGCTTTCTTGCATTTCCTTTTCTTTGGGATGGTTTTTGTTGCTGCCTCCTGTACAATGTTATGAGCCTCCATCCATAGTTCTTCAGGCACTCTGTCCACCAAGTCTAGTTACCTAAATTTGTTCTTCCACTGTAAGGGATTTTGTTTAGAGTTCTAGCAACCTCTTATTCTTAGTCGCTCTGTCTAATACAAAAAAGGGAAGTCTCTACCTCGTATAGATCCCAGCCTAAAGCACTGATTAAAATTGTTTTACTGATATTTAAAGTAATGGATTCAATAATTCTATTGGCTACTGATTAGTTGGGGGAAATACATCATGCTGTCTTCATACAAAGTAGAAGTTGGGAGGGGGAGGAGAAATGTTGCATACAATCATTAGTCCAGCTGGGGTAAAAAAGACTTCCTTTTTGTATTCCTTACTTCAACTATTAAATGGAACGTGGGTGAAGTTTCCTAGCTTTTCAATTCTCTTTCCTCCCTTGTCTTCTGTAGCCCCATTCTCATTCCTCCCATCCATTCACTCTTCTCTCACTCATACCCATCTGCTATATGCCTTGGAAGAACCATCTCTTTTTTTATTTGTTTAACTATCCCCTTCCTAAGACCATCATGTAACAAACCTTTACCTGGATAATCCTTCCCTCACTTCTACTTGATATTTCCCATCATTGTTCATCACTTGTCTGTGCCAAGCTCTGTTTCCTTCTCAAGCCTCAGTCCTGAAACTCACCTAATGTAGACTGTAGTCTCTCTGGACAAAGGTTTTGCTATTGCCGTAGAACAGTAGTCCCCAACCTTTTCCCAACCGCAGACTGGTTGGGGGGCATGGCATGCTCACATAAGTGTGGCATGCTCATGGGGGGGGGCAGAGCTCGCTTGCACACATTGTGCTCGCAGGGGTGGAACATGCTTGTGTGCATGCGGACGTCACACTCGCAGGGGACAGAACGCACTCGCGCAAATGCGTGCAATGGCATTCGCAGGGGGTTAGGAGATCTGTGTCCGTGGTCCGGTCCTGGATAGGCTGCGGACTGCTGCCGGGTTGCAGACTGGGGTTGTGGACCTCTTTTGTATAATATACCATTACCCTCTGTGGCGATCACCCTGCTTTGGCTCATGTATGAGGTTATTTGCATACACCAATGAGAGCTGTTGGGAGGTGGAGCCAGAGAAACTAGAAGGGAGGGGTGAGTCAGAGAAGAGGAGTTTATGAGTCAGTTTGAGTCAGAAATGGAGAATCTGAAGTGAAAAGTTAGTCAGAAGAGTTAGAGTCAGGAGTTAAGGGAGGCAGTTAAGAGTGTGGAACTTAGAGAGTTAAGAGTGAAACAAGTTATTGCAAAGCTACTGAATACTTTAAAGTCTCTGAAGAACCTGTTTATGTGAATTGTAACCAATAAACCTGTTTTGTTCAACTTTACACTCATAGCAAGGACCTCAATCTTTCTAATTAAACATTGTTGACGGAGATCAACTGGTGGCAGTGTAAAGGAGGGAATGTGTCATGGGTCTCAGACTAGTGAAATAATCTGGGGACACGCGAGGGGCATGTCACAGCCTCACTAATAAAAAATCTCATTGCACTGGGTTTTCCCAAAGCACACTACCATAATCTCTTTTTACAGGCAATCTGAATTACAGATATATGTGCTAAGAAACCATAACTAAAGATAGGATTTTTGGATTTTTAAAAATTACAAATCCCACAAACTGGAAGGCTTTGAGGCCTGGACCAGCCCAAGCTTCCTATTCCTGTCCATGCTAGATGGAAGCTTATTTCTGAACAAGAAGCTGGGTGGAGATAGGTCTCAAAGCCTTCCAGTTTGGGTGTTTCCCCCAGGTGAGCCAGATTTAGGTATCTCTAAGGTGTCTATGTGTTACGCAGAACTACCAAAATGCAGACTTATGGAATGTGTAGTAGAAAAATCCAAAAATTGCATGCCTGATCATAATTTTACAGAGACAATATTCAAATCCCTCCATAGTACCTTCTCCTTACACAGACTCACCTGGGACAAAAAATTGCTTAACATTTGTGAATTTGGACTTGTCAGGCACAGTTGAGACAGAGCAGCCTTTTGGTACAGTCCACTCACTGGGCTGGCTGATTTGGTCTCTCTCCTCAGCTGTTTCATACACCTCTATGTGAGGAGGTTTCTCAGTCAGATTCTTACTGTAATGGCTAAGCCCATACTGGGCAATCTGGATGGGGTAGAAGTAGCCTTGAGGCCCCCACTGCGTGGACAGTGGCACACCTGTAAGACAAAGGGAAAAGACATAATATGATGAATAATGGCAGGATTGCTGAAGCATACAAGGACATCTCAGCTAGATCGGATCAAAGCAAGTGATCTATGGCACAGCCAAATATTACAGTGTGAGCTAAATTACTAATTACCACATATTGGCTGACTGAAAGTCTAACTAAAACCCTTGACTTGAAGCCTACAGGGGAAACAGGCTGTATTGAACAAATATATACAGACCTTGTGAAAATAACATCTTAGGTAGTCTTTCGCTGAGTAGGATGAAATGGCTTAGTGCTGGACCAGAACAGGGAAGACCTAAGTTCCCATACCTACTTTACCTTGCAGCTCACTGGGTGGCCTTGGGCCAGAAACACTACCTCAGCATATCCTACCGCGAGACGTCACTTCCGCTCGGGGGAATGACCAGCTAGGAGCGAACCCTCCGTATCGCCTAGCAAGGTAAAAAGCTATTAAAATGCATTTCTTTCTTTAGAAGAATGTTTTTTTTATCATAAATCCTTGGAGAGAAGGATAAGGAAGGCATATCGCTGATTAAAAGCCTTAAGGACTATGTTTTTTTAAAGTTACGAACTACTTTCACTTTCATGGCCGATTAGCTACTGGCGTTTTCCAGCTGCCCTGCTCCTAACGAAAAGCCTGAAACAACAATAATTATTTTTAATTAGAACTCTCTATGTCAAGGAGGAGGGATAAAACTGCCAAAAACCCCTCAGATCGCAGTTTGGAAAGATTGACGACACAACCAACTGAAGACGATAGGATGGACGAGGTTACAAGGCTTATAAAAGATCTGTCTTGTAAAATGTCTGAAGGCTTTGACAAAACAGAGCAAAGATCTAAGTCCATCGAAAGAAGCATTACTAAGCTTCAAGATCAAATTTCAGGGGTGTCACAGGAGTTAAAGGACATGAAGAGCAAAATTAGGGACCTTGGTGATACAGTTCAAGGAAATAAAGAAGAAATTGTGTCCATGGCTCAGCAAATTTCTGATACCAATAAAAAGCTTATATTTATGGATGATAACCTCAGAAGGTCTAATATTAAAATAATGAACTTCCAAGTCCAACAGGGCCGAGATCTCAGAAAGGAGATAATGGCTTGGATAAACTCTATAATGGACACGCAGCATCTGATTGAAACAGATATAGAAAAGGCATATTTCCTGGGAAATCCAAGTAGTCTCCGTATTAGACCAGTGGTTGTGAAGTTTTTGAATCATACAAAGAAAGAACAATTTCTAAAAGCAATCAGACAAAAACAAGACCAGCTGGTTTATAGAGACAGAAAAATTCAGATTTTCCAGGATTTTTGTAAAGAGACTGCGAAATGGCGAGGATCTATGCAGCCGGTTACAGCAATTCTGAGGAAAAATAACATCAGATATCATTGGGGCTACCCAATTTTTTTGAAAATCTGGAAAGACAAGATTTTGTTTAAAATCCACTCCTGCGAGCAAGGTTTACAACTGCTGAAAGATTGGAACATTTATGAAGGAGAAAGTCAGGAGTTAATTCCAACCACAAGCAAAGAACTAGAAGGCTGAACCAGAAGGAAGAAGATGGACCAGTTTTTTCTTATATTTTTTTATTATTCTATCTTATTTTTTATATCTTTTATTTTTTTTCCTTTATCTTTCTCCTAATAAAATCTTTCTTTATATATGTATGTGTATGCATATATATATACATATATATGTTTCTCTCCTCCCCTCTTTCCCCT